GACGCCCCGGCGCTCAAGGCCTGCGTGGACACGGCGCTGGAGAACATGGCCGGCCCCAGGATGAAGGTGGTGGAGGTAGGCGTCGGCTGAGAAGAGCCAGGTAGACGAGACCGCAGGGCGGCGAGGTGCCCCAGCGGGCCCCACAGGCTGTCGCTTGTCCCCTACACCTGTGACGGGGGCCGCCACCACGCAGGTGCACGGGGGGAGGGGGCGGCGCAGATGCAGGGCCCGCCGGCCGTGTCCACGCAGCAGCCCCGGGGCCTGGGGCTCTGAAGGTCACCGCAGACGGGGCCCGAGAGCACGGGCTCAGCTGGTGACCTGGCACGCGGGGTCTGCGCAGCCCCAGGTCGGGACACTTCCCTGGCCCGGGGCTGCTCCCAGAAGATGTCCCCCCCCCCAGGTGCTGGCCGGCCATGGACACCTGTACTCCCGCATCCCGGGCCTGCTCAACACCCAGCCGATGCTGCAGCTGAGCTACACGGCCACTGACCGCCACCCCCAGGCCCTGGAGGCTGCGCAGGCCAAGCTGCAGCAATTTGACGCAGCCCAGGCCCAGTGGGACCCCGCGGAGCCCGCGCCCAGCAGCCTGGGCAGCGCCGACCTCCTGGTGTGCAACTGTGCCGTGGCCGGCCTCGGGGACCCCGCCTTGGCCCTCGGCCACATGGCGGCCGCCCTGCGAGAGGGCGGCTTCCTGCTGCTGCACACCCTGCTGCGCGGGCACCCCCTCGGGGACACCATGGCCTTCCTCTCCTCCTCTGAGCCGCAGCTCGCGCAGGGCCTCCTGAGCCAGGTGCGCTGTTGGGCGGGGGGCCAGGGGGCGGCCAGGCCGGGCAGGAGGCCAGGGGCCGGGGGTGGCCAGGCCGGCCGGGCCCTGACGGCCATGCGCTCGCAGGATGAGTGGGAGAGCCTGTTTGCGAGGACGCCGCTGCACCTGGTGGGCCTGAAGAAGTCCTTCTACGGCTCCGCGCTCTTCCTGTGCCGCCAGCCAGCCACACAGGACAGCCCCATCTTCCTGCCCGTGGAGGACACCAGCTTCCGCTGGGTGGACTCTCTGAAGGTCAGTCCCCGCCTGGCCTCCCGGGACCCGCTCACCTGGCACAGGTGCGCAGCGCAGCCCGAGGCCGCCGGCTGCTGACCCTCCCTCCTCCCGCAGAACATCCTGGCCGACGACTCCCCGCGGCCCGTGTGGCTGAAGGCCGTCAACTGCTCCACCTCAGGCGTGGTGGGCCTGGTGAACTGTCTCCGCAAGGAGCCCGGCGGGCACCGGATCCGGTAGGGCCCCTCCCCGCCCCCCGCTCCCCTCCCCTCCCCTCCCCTCCCCTCCCGTACGGCGCTCTCACCGCCTCTGCCCGCCACAGGTGCGTCTTGCTGTCCAACCTGAGCAGCGCATCCCGCGTGCCCGCGGTGGACCCCGGCTCCGCAGAGCTGCGGGCGCTGCTGCAGGGGGACCTGGTGATGAACGTGTACCGCGACGGGGCCTGGGGGGCCTTCCGCCACTTCCCGCTGGAGCAGGGTGAGCCCCTGGACCGCGCCCCCGCCACCCCACGCCGCCCAGGCTCCTCGAGTGGGGAGGGGACGGGAGACCCGGCTGGGGAGGCCGCGGCAGCTGCCCTTCCTGTCGCGCAGACAAGCCGGAGGAGCAGACGGCGCACGCGTTCGTGAACGTGCTCACGCGAGGGGACCTGTCCTCCATCCGCTGGGTCTGCTCCCCGCTGCGCCACGCCTCGCCCACCGGCCCCGGCGCCCAGCTCTGCACGGTCTACTACGCCTCGCTGAACTTCCGTGACATCATGCTGGCCACGGGCAAGCTGTCCCCTGACGCCATCCCAGGTATGGCCTGGGGCCCCGGGTGGGCCGGCGTTCTCCGAGGCCCCGGGCTGGGCTGGCACCTCGAGGCCGCCGGCTCACCACCGCCCGCTTCCAGGGAAGTGGGCCTCACGGGACTGCATGCTGGGCATGGAGTTCTCGGGCCGAGACGCCAGCGGCAAGCGCGTGATGGGGCTGGTGCCCGCCGAAGGCCTGGCCACGTCCGTCCAGCTGTCCTCGGACTTCCTCTGGGACGTGCCCTCCGGCTGGTGAGTGCATGGCCGGACAGGGCCCGGGGCCCGTGGGCGTCGGCGGCAGCAGCCAGGCCGAGCTGACCCTGTGACCCGCCCCCAGGACCCTGGAGGAGGCAGCTTCCGTGCCCGTCGTCTACACCACGGCCTACTACTCGCTGGTGGTGCGCGGGCGCATGCGGCGCGGCGAGACCGTGCTCATCCACTCGGGCTCGGGCGGCGTGGGCCAAGCCGCCATCACCATCGCCCTCAGCCTGGGCTGCCGCGTCTTCACCACCGTGGGTGAGGCCCCGCCCCACAGCGCCCCAGTCCCGGCCCCCTAGCGCCCCTGACCCCACAGCGCCCCTGACCCCACATCGCCCAGTCCCGTCCCCACAGCGCCCCCGGTCCCAGCTCACCGGCACCCTCTGCCCCCAGGCTCTGCGGAGAAGCGGGCGTACCTCCAGGCCAGGTTCCCGCAGCTGGACAGCACCAGCTTCGCCAACTCTCGGGACACGTCGTTCGAGCAGCACGTGCTGCGGCACACAGGCGGGAGGGGTGAGCAGCCAGGCCAGCCCCACCCTCGCAGGGCTGCCGGGGGTGCGGGTCAGCGGGTGTGACCGAGGGACCCTCCGTCCCTAGGGGTGGACCTGGTGCTGAACTCCCTGGCGGAGGAGAAGCTGCAGGCCAGCGTGCGGTGCCTGGCCCAGCACGGCCGCTTCCTGGAGATCGGCAAGTTCGACCTGTCCAACAACCACCCGCTGGGCATGGCCATCTTCCTGAAGAACGTGACCTTCCACGGCATCCTGCTGGACGCGCTCTTCGAGGAGGCCAGCGACGACTGGCGGGAGGTGGCGGCGCTCCTGCGGGCCGGCATCCGCGACGGCGTGGTGCAGCCCCTCAAGTGCACCGTGTTCCCCAAGGCCGGCGTGGAGGACGCCTTCCGCCACATGGCCCAGGGCAAGCACATCGGCAAGGTCGTCATCCAGGTGAGCCAGGGCCCCAGGCGCCCCGCCCCGTCCCCCGGCCGCCCCGCAGCACCTGAGCCGGGGTGTCGCTTGGCGCAGGTGCGACCAGAGGAGCCGGAGGCAGCGCCAAAGCGGGTGGAGCCCACGGTGATGGCGGCCATCGCCAAGACCTTCTGTCCCGCCCATAAGAGCTACGTCATCGCCGGCGGCCTGGGGGGCTTCGGCCTGGAGCTGGCCCAGTGGCTGGTTCTGGCGGGGGCCCAGAGGCGCCTGGTGCTGACCTCCCGCTCTGGATATCCGCCACGGAGCAGCTTCGGGGGCCCGGCCAGCCAGGGAGGGGACTCGCGTCCTGCCACCTGGGCAGTTCCCGTCCCCCGTCTTGGCCAGAGCTGGGGCGGTGCCCAGGCCCGCCTGGGTCCGGGGAGGGCGTGCCGTGTGTCCGTGCCTGGCACACCGCCCTCGCCCCACCAGGCTACCAGGCCAACAGGGTGCCGGGAGGGCTGGCGCCAGGGCCGTAGGCAGTCGTGGCTCGTGTCCGCCAGCAACCGCGCAGCTCCGCCGGATGGGCGCCCCGTCGCCTCATCGGTCGGAGGCCACGCAGCTTGGGCCCGTGGGACGCGTCTTCACCTGGCATGGTGAGGGGACCCACCGGCCGAGACTGGGGAGCGGCCCCTGTGGGCGGGGAGGGGGGCCGCCGGGGCCTGGGCGTGCTGAGGACCCTCCCCCACAGGTGGCTTGAGCGGACCGCCATGCTGGAGAACCAGACGCCATGAGGCCTTCCCAGGACGTCCAGCAAACCAAAAGCAGCATGAGGCCCAACACCTGAACGCTGGAACAGGTGGGCAGCAGCCCCCGCCACGTGGCCCCTCCGTCCCCCCCTGCGGCCTCCACGCACACTGCCCGCCCCCGCGGCGGCCTGAGCCTCCGTGGCTCCGCCTTCCCGTCCGGGAGCCGGGGCAGAACCCGAGCTCCGTGGGTGGCTGCTGGCAGGAGTGACCGCGCAGTGCCCCACAGGACGGGCGGGAGGCCGAAGTGTCCGCGAGCCCCTGGAACTACTAATCGTGGCCGTTCCTCTCGGTGAGCCGTGGGCGTGGCCAAGCCGCCGGCCAGACCAACTACGGCTTTGCCACTCCCACCACAATGGAGGCGCATCCCTGTGAGAAGGGAGGGCAGCGACGGCCCTCCCCAGGTGGGTCTTCCACAGCAACCTCCTCACCACACCCGCTCCCCGCCGCCAAGGCCCCCACCCATGCCTCCTGCCCGCCAGGCCCCCCACGCTCCCCCTGCCCAAGGAACCCCCCCACGGCTCACCTGCCAAGGCCCGCCACCCGCCCACTCACCCGCAGGCCTGGCCGTGCAGTGGAGGCGGGGCGCATCGGCGACGTGGGCATCGTGCTGGAGGCCCATGGACCAACGACACGGTCGGGCGGGACCGCT